TAGAACAAAAAAATTGATGTTTAACAAGAAAAATATAGGGATGCATTGTATGTATTCGCATCATTTGAAATGGTCGTTAGTGTTTTTTCCCCCCAACAAAAATACTTTTTTTGGGGGGAGGGGTAACATTTATGCCCATAACCTGTGATTTAAAAATCCCAACAATATTATTTTGGTAACAATGTGTAGCATATATGTGATCTTAATCATGCAGTTTAAATAAAATTTATCCGACAATTAAACTTCACTAGAGGTCAAAAGGTCTTTGACCTTTTTCTAAAATGTGAATTTTTGCATAAAATATCAATAAACTTCAGTGACATAAACAAAATGTCTAATTTTGGATGTATTTGATACAAATTGTGTTTTTCTTGTAGTTATTAATGTATGGAATACAAAAATTGAGGTTAACAAGAAATAAAATATAATGCATTATGTACTAATTGTCAATGTTTATGTAATCAAATTGACATAGCTAGAGGTCAAAGGTCATTGACCTCCTCAGAAAAGTTTATTTAGGAAATTTTTTCCCAATTCATTCCCAAACGTTTACAAATACACAGTTGTGAGTACTGTAGATTTGATACCAATTAGTATCTTCTATTATAAATAAGCATATGGTTTTGGTATGGGTGTTAACATTTATGCTCATAACTCTTGATTTACTCAATGGTTTGTATGATGTTGGTATCAACATTTAGCCTATAGATTGGTCAGTCATTCAAATTTAAAAAGTATTGAAACAGGCAGAAATTGACGCAACCAGAGTTTACTCACAAACGTCTACAAATCTACAGTTGTGAGTAGATTTGATACCAATTAATATTTTCTATTATTAATAAGCATATGGAATATAAAAAATGATATTAACAAGAAAAATGTATAAATTGATTAAATGTACTACTGTCATTGTTGATTACTTGTGTAATCAATGCCGATGTTTTTTGGTAGGGGTTAACATTTAGGTTCATAACTCATGATTTATTGGATAGATTTGCATGATGTTGGTATTAACATGTAGCCTGTAGATTTTCCAGCCATTCAAATTCAAAATGTGTGCAGAAATTGAGGTATCTAAAGGTCAAAACGTTGTTGACCTCTGTAGAAAAATGCAAATTCTTCCCAAAAACCATGGCAGATATTCTTTATGACAATATAATGGAAATATATAGTAGTGAAAGTTTAATGTTAAAAGTTTCCCACTCGAATAAAATAAACGATCAGTACTGGATAAAGACAACTTGGTTTCTTGCTTCAAACAAGATATCATTCATAGAAGATGAGTCTATCCAAGTGATGAACCTATAAGGGTCTGGGACCAGGACGTACTGTACATTCGACTTTACAGTAGATTGACAAAGATTGAAATATGTTTACAGACACGATATATACATAGGCCTAGGTCTAGAGTCCAGTTAGAATATGTATATATATATATATATATATATATATATATATGACTATATACAGGGGGAAACAATGGAAAGGGTTAGAAATAATACCTTAAGGCGAAAATACTGCCGCTAAAGGGGAAATTTTAAAGACGTTAAGGAGAAATATAGACAAAGGATTTTTCACCCTATGAGTTAGTTAGGAGTAGTATATACTACTATATATATATATATATATATATATATACAGTCTGTAGTGATAATGGTGCAAAGTTGGCATCTAGGTTTCAAACACGGTGCGTTGCCATACTTGTGGGTGAGTGAAGGTAATTTAGATGAAGTCAAAATCAATATTAAATTAGTGGCTGTTGTCTAGCAATGATAGGTGGATTGCAAAAAAGAGGTTCGATGTTCGAATCCTGTTTTAGAGCATTATAATTGTTCTTAAGTGTATGAGCTATAGAGGCCATAATCTAAAACAAACGGTAACCTAGCCTATCAGAACTACACGGTAGTCTTAAATTTATAGCAAAGCAAATCATTGCGTGATATTAATGATGCCTTAGCTACTGCAGATTTAACTAATAGTTTTTGTTTAGTTTTATTATTAAGTCCATCACCATGAAATCTCCCATTTAAGAAATATTTATTTCTTCATCAATTATATAATCAATCCAATTGACTAAAATGTTTATATATTGCAACATCACATTCTCTATGATCAGTATATTGTTTGTTCTGTTTATTGTATCCTCAAAAAAAGTACAAATAGTCACCAAGAAAATGTGACTGTGCAAAAGCAATAGAGGGCACCCTTAGTTCCTCACTTGAAATGTTTTTACATGATTTTCTATTATTTATATTTGTTTAATACTGTAGTTCAGTTGTAGCTAAGCGGCACCAAGCTTGGTTAGCCTTTGCTATAATCATGTGATAACATTTCAAGTGAGGAATTAAGGGTGCCCTCTATTACTTTTGCACAGTCGCATTTTTTATTTGTCGATATACTATAATTTTATTTATTATTTTTCTCTATACTTTTGGCAAAAACTGAATAAATGTGGTATTGTGTTTTCATCACTATTGACTATTTTGGAACTCTCTGCCACCAGCCTCCTCCCACCCCACCTCTGAAATATGGTCACAGGCACGTTTAAAAAGTTACCAATTGCATTGGCCCGAAAGGCAGTAGACCTACAAAGAAAATCACAAAAATTTGTCAACTACTGTATACATAGCAAAGCTCATATTTTAGGAGCCTTATTTCCCACCCCTCACCCTTACTGAAACTAATAAGTTTCTAGTGACCCCATTCATGTATACTCACTGTGCTATGCTAGTTT